GTAAACAAGAAGAGAAATCATAAGAGACTTATTAAAGTTGAACTGTTACATTCCTGCATGGAAAGATAATATTTATAACTCATGAGACCTTTGTTAGTATTAGAGTAGTTGGAGGGAAAAAATTATATGTATGTAGATAGATAAATAGATAGATAGATAGATAGATAGAGGGCACAGGCCGAGTTGATGATTAAGGGGTCATATCTGGAGAATAAAATTAAGGGATGAGAGAGGATTATACTAGGAAAAGAAGAAAGGGAGAGGTAGAATGGGGTAAATTATCTCACAAAAAAAAAAACCAGAAAAGAAAAGGCTCTTACAGTAAAGGGGAAATGGGAGAAGGTGAGAGGGAATGAGTGAATCTTTTCTCATAAGATTCAGCTTATGGAAGGAATAACATACATGTTCAATGGGTATGGAAATCTGTCTTACCTTATAGGAAAATAGGGGGAGAAGGGGACAAGAGAGCAGGGGGATGATAGAAAGGAGGGCAGACTGGGAAAGGGGGTAATCAGAAGTAAATACTTCTGAGGAGGGACAGGGTCAAAAGAAAGAATAGAATAAATGGGAGGGCTGGATAGGATTAAGGGAAATAGAGGTAGTTTTTCACAACATCTCCACTACGGAAATATTTTGCGTAACCGCACATATATAACCTATATTGAGTTGCTTGCCTTTTCAGTGAGAGTGGGTGGAGAGGGAGGAAAGGAAAAAATTTGGAACCCAAGTTTTAAAAACATATGTTTAAAAAAAGTTTTCACATCCAACTGGGAAATAAGAAATACAGGAAATGGGGTACAGAAGTCTATCCTGTCCTACAGAAAAAAAGAAGGGGAAAGGGACAAGAGGGGGGGGAGAGATAGAAGAGAGGGCAGACTAGGGGAAGGGATATATAGAATGCATGCCACCTTAGGGTGAGATGGGGTGAAAATTTGGAACTCAAAATCTTGAGGAAGTAAATATTGAAAACCAAAAATAAATAAATTTATATTGAAAGTGAAAAAAAAATAAAGTGATATGACCCAATATATAATATCCTTTTGTTAAATTAGATGAGTATGGATACCGGCATTCTCCCCTGTTTTTTCTAAAGTCTCAACATCAACAGCACAAAGTCATAGAGAATGAGACCAGCCCTGAATATTGCTCTGACTCTTTTGAACCAGTATCTCCAGAATTCCATGGGAAAGAAGCCATCAGGTAATGAATTATGTGAGTATAGAAAAAAAAATTGGTGGAAATTTAATGGATCTTATCAGTTACACCAGGACCAGACTTGGGCAAAAGTTAAATGAAATGGATAGGTTTTAGGTGTTTTAGCATCTATCTTCTGGACTTCAGGGCTGATATTGCCAGCTCTAATAATGAAAAAGACTGTAGCTATGTGTTTACTTTATCATTCTTTCAGAATCAGAAACATCAGGAAAGAATATAAAGGGAAGACTGAGAAAGTGGAAGCTTTGAAAGGTAAGGAGGAAAATATAATTGTTTTATTGACATTTAAATAAAGTGTTACAGCAGTAATGGCTGTAAATCAGTCCTCCCCCTTTTCCCTGATTGATTCTCTATCCTACCTCTTCATATACTTCTATTCCAAATCTTAGCTTATTTCCTCAAATTATGTACACCACATATTCCCTCTCCCTTGCTGTGGAAGATCTCATTTCATGTTTTACTGAGAAAAAAATTGAGGTAATTTGTTCCGGCTCTAACTTCTCACTTTAAATCCTTTCCACATCAGCATCCATTCCCTCCTCCTTCTATCCAGTCTCAGAGGAAGAGAAAGCCCTTATCTTTTCCAAAGTCAACCTCTCCATTAGTTTCTTGATCCACTCCCTTTTATCTTCTCTGATAATACGACCCTTTGATCATCCCCTCTTTTTCTCTAATTCCTTCCTTATTGTCTACAAACATGCTTATATCTACCCATCCTCCTGCACCCCATATACTTCACTGACTCCCTCAAACTATTATTCTATGGCTCTTTTCACTTTCATAGCCCAAATGCTAGAAAAAGCTGTATATTCCCATTACCTCCACTTTCTTACCTTTCATTTACTTCTGTGTTCTGACTTCTGTCTTCTAACCTCACAACCTGACAGCTATCACTCTCATTAAGGTCACCAATGATATTTTCGTTCTTAGATCCATCATTTTGACCTCTCTGCAGTGATTACTCCCTCCTCTAGCCTCTCCTCTCCTCAATGGGATTTTAATGATGCTATTGGTTTTCTTACTTATCTGGTCCATCTTTCTCTCTCAGAATTATCATCCATATCCTGCTTCCTACTGTGTGGGCTCTCTCTTTTTCTCTGTCTGTCCCTCTTTATCTTTCTCCATCTCTGTGTCTGACTGTCATCTAATTAGTTGTCATAGTTTATCAATGTGTTGTATTCCAGGCATATATCTTTGACTGTCTACTACATATCTTCACCTGTATACCCCATAGGAATTTCAAACACAGCATACCCAAGAATGAAACTCATTTTCCCCCAGCAAAAACCCACTTCCTCCTTCTCCTACCTTTCTTATTTCTGTCAAAAGCAGCACTATCTTTCTAGTCATGCACATTCATAACCTAAGAACTTCTGAACTGTTCTCCCTCATGCATTACTTTCTCTATCCAATTATTGCTCCCTCTATTATAACTTGTCAAATTGTTTCAATTCTGCCTCCACAATTTCTCTCACACGTCTGTCTGTTCTCCAGTTACACATCCACTGTTCTAATTTAGGCTTCTTCCTGAACTTTTTCATTGGTTTTCTTGCATTCTGACTCTTGCCTCTCTAGTCCATCTTCTATACAGTTATCAAAGTGATATTCTTTTTTTTTTCCTTTTAGGCAATTGGGGTTAAGTGACTTGCCCAGGGTCACACAGCTAGAAAGTGTCAAGTGTTTGGTCTGAGGCCAGATTTGAACTCAGGTCCTCCTGACTTCAGGGCCGGTGCTCTATCTACTGCGCCACCTAGCTGCCCCTCAAAGTGATATTCTTAAATCAAAGGGCTGACCACTACCTTATTTCTTAGGAGTTCCCCAAGGTTACATAGCTAGCTACTGGAAGCATTGAGATTGGAACAAAGTTCCCTATCCATAAATCAATGAATCAGGAGACCTAGGTTAAAGTCCTGGCTCTAGTCCTTGGTATTTGAGTGACCTCAGACAAGTCATTTCACCTCTCTGAGATCCATTATCTATATCTGTAAAATAAAAATGAATTTTTTTTTACCACTTATCTCATAGAAGCATGAGAAAAGTGCTTTGTAGACTTTAAAGTATTATATAAAGACACATAATTATTCATCCTGATTTTTCTATGAGCTAGATCCATGACCTGGGGCAAATCATTTCACTACTTAATCTATTTCCTCATATATTAAGTTAGAGAATTCTAATATTTTATATCTAAGGTCTCTTCTACCTCTCACATTCTATGATTCTATGACATTAACTTATTTCAATATTCCCATTACTGAGTTTGGCTTGGTTTTCTTATTTCACAAATTTCACTTAAAAGATTGTTAGTCACTAAATAATTTCTTCTAAAAATATCTTTTTACAAACTAAAATCAAACTGAGCAAATAGAAACAAACAAAATAAAAATAAAAATAAAATGAAACCACATGATCAGAAATATTTACATTTTAAAAGAAAATAATTAAACAAATTATTTCCCCTTCATCTTTAAATTTTTTCCTGTGTATTTGAATTTTTAAAAATTAATTTATTTTGATTTATCAACAATCACTTCCATATGCTTTTGAGTTTAAAATTTTTCTCCCCCTTCCTCCTCACCACCCTCTCCAAGATAGTGCACAATCTGATATAGGCTATACATTTACGTTCCTTTTAAACATATTTTCACATTAGTGAAGTTGTAAGTAAAAATTAAAACCAATAGGAGGAACCATCAGAAAGAGGAAACAAAACTCAACGGAAGAGAAAAAAAAAAGATAGTGATTCAACTTTCACAGTTATGATTACTGTCTGTGTCTTTTTCTCCATCCTTTCCCCCCATTTATGCTTTTCTTTCTCCTTTCTCCTTTTCCCTCCTCACTAGTGTTCTGCTTTTGACCACCACCTCCTTCAGTCTCTCCTCCCTTCTACTATCCCTTTCCCTTTTTTTCCCTTTGCCTTTACTGCTTCTTCCCTCCCTTCTAACACCCCTCCTTTTTCCTTCCCCCTTCCCTCCCACTGCCCATAGGGCAAGTTAGATTTCTATGCCCAACTGACTATGTTATTCCCTTCTTGAGCCAAATCTGATGAGGGTAAGGTTCAAACAATGCTCACCCCCCTCCCTTCTTTCTGTCTGCTGTAATAGGATTTTCTGTCTTTTCCTGTAATGTAATTTACCCTTGTCTGCCTCCTCCTTTCTCAGTACATTTTCTAAGATCAGACTAATCCACTTACTTGGATACATTTAACCCACTTGATTACATTTTTTTTAATCATTAAGTCAAAGTCAACTAATATCCAACCCCTTTATGTATACTCCTTTAACGTGGTATAATAACAATGCAGTTCTCAAGAGTTGCAAGTGTCATCTTCCCTTGTAGGGATGTAAACAGTCCGCCCTTATTACAACATTTTGTATCTTTCTGTCCCATTTACTTTTTATGTCTTTCTTGAATATTGTACTTGAAGATCAAGTTTTTTGTTGAGCTCTGGTCTTTTCATCAGGAGGGTTTGAAAGTCCCCTATTTCAGTGAATATCCATCTCCGCCCTTGAAAAATCATGCTCATTTTTGCAGGGTAGTTGATCCTTGGCTGCAATCCAAACTCCTTTGCCTTAGGGAATATCATGTTCCACACCCAGTTTTTAATGTAGAAGCTGCAAGGTCCTGTGTAATCCTCACTGTGGTTCCATGATATTTAAATTGCTTCTTTCTGGCTGCTTGCAGCACCTTCTCTTTCATCTGGTAATTTTGGAATTTTGCTATTGTATTCCTTGGCGTTGTCAATTTGGGATCTCTTTCAGGTGGTAAGCAGTGTATTCTTTCTATGGTTACCTTACCCTTTGGTTCTAGGACTTCCAGGCAGTTTTCCTTTATGATTTCCTGAAAGATACTGTCCAGACTCTTTTTTTCATCATGATTTTCAGGTAGTCCAATGATTTTTAAGTTGTCTCTCCTGGATCAATTTTCCAGGTTGGTTGTTTTACCGATGAGGTATTTTATGTTTTCATGTATTTTTTCATTTTTTTATTTCTGTTTGACTGATTTTTGCTCTCTCATAGAGTCATTAGTTTCCATTTGTCCAATTCTAGGGTTTTTTTTTTTTACGAACAAGGCAATTTATTAATGAATCTGGTGTGGTTTGTCCTAATGTTTCTTGTTGGCAGCTGCTACCTGTCTGGCAATTCTGTCCAGGTCTCTCTGTCCCTGAGGTGTCAGCTTCTGGCCCCCATCTTGGTCCTTCTCCACCATCTTGAGGCCTTCCAGGGCTGCAGAACCCTCTGGGTCATGCTCTTGGAGCCTCTGCTGAAGTGGCTGGGGAAGACCCCATTGCGCTGGCGCCCTCTGTAGATCTTGGTCATGGAGCCCACGCCGGCACCGCCCTGGAGGCGGCTGGGTGTAGAGCCAGTTCTTGTGGTAGGGCGCTAGCTCCTTATGTTTGGCCACCTTGACCATGTCCACCCATTCGGGACTTTCAGCTTCTCTGACTTTTTCAGGAAGGCGGCCAAGGCCCGGACGAACTCCTGCTGGTTCACGTCCTTCACCGTGACTCCGGGCATCGTGCGGGCTCTGCACAGCCAGCCAGGGGAAAGCCAATTCTGGTTTTTAACAGATTGTTTTCTTCTGTTAGTTTTTGTACTTCCTTCTTCAATTGGCCAATTGTATTTTTAAGGGATTTGTTTTCTTCGGTGTACTTTTTTTCAGTTTGCCAATTGTGCTTTTTAGGGACTTGTTTTCTTCAGTGTACTTTTTTCCCAGTTGGCCAATTGTATTTTTTAAGGACTGTTCTACCTCTCTCATTAGACTTTTAGAATCCTTCTTTAGCTCTTCTAAAAAGGCTTTTTGGGTTTCAGACCAGTTCATATTCCCTTTTGATGTTGCAGATGTGGGTTTGTTGACAATGTTATCTTCAGAATTTCTGTCTTGATCTTCACTCTTCTCATAATATGATCTATGGTATGTTTCTTTTTACTCATGGTTTCTTTATTCCCTGGCCTATAAAGAGATTGAGCTCCCCTGCTGGTGAACAGAGGCACTGACCCAAGCTTCTTGTGTTGGGGGCCTAGGTCTTGGTCACTGGCTTTGTGTGCTGGGGCCTCTTATGTTGGCAATTGGAGGCTGTAGGGTTTTGGCAGCTTACCTCGTGTTGGGCTGGAATCAACAAGGTTGGAACTTTCTGGCAATTCTAAGTTGCCTGCTTTTCCTTTCCTTTAGATTTCTTCAGCTCTTTTTAGATGGGTACTGCAGGGTGTTTATCTGCTTGGGGCTCCTTGCAGTGCTGCCTCCCTCGTTTC